AGATTAAATGCCATGTTGAGGCTGTCATTTTTAGCATCTACATGGATGTTAAAATCACCCACAATAATTATTTTATCTGAGTTCAGAACTAAATCAGATAAAAAGTCTGAGAAATCAGACAGAAACTCTGTGTAAGGCCCAGGTGGCCACAGGCAGTGGAGATGATGGTGGCACAGCAGCTGCAGATGGTGAAGCAGAGAGTGGAGTGAAGACCTCCGACTGAGGCAAGGCTAGCTGTGCTAACGGCTGGCTTACAGCAGCATTTGAGGTGTCACTGTCCACTTTAAACAAAAACACAGATGGTGTGGGAAATGAAAAAATGTCATTATTACTCACCACAGCCGGCTGTTGAGATGTCCGGGAATCCGGCTGCGGTGAGGAGCGCTGGTGGCGTGAACATCGTTTCCATGTAGATGACAGGGGCAGCGTGTCAGGCTGTGAATCTACGGGCTGCCCAGGCCAGTGAGCAGCTTGAATTGGAGAGTGGAGGTGGAAGGTGGAGAACAGGAAGTCCATGATGACTGGCTTGAGAGAGTCCACCAGCCAGGGAAATTTTAAAAGCTTTTCCTGCAGCTGGCTCTCCACAGCTCAACATAACGCTTCCCCGGGCTTCTCCCACCACAAATCACATAGTGTGTAAACCTCTCTCCTGAGCCTCTCCTCAGAGTCTGCTGCGACCATGTTTGGCTGGATCATTCTGTCACGATTAGCGCTGGCCAACCATGGGGATGTGGGGAAAGGAGGACCCAAATGCTGGACTCTTTGAGGCAACAGTGCGTTTATTTACAGTGCAGGAAAATAACAGTAAATCCCCAGTGCAATCCCGACTTCCGTGACACGTCCTCTTCCCAGTGTTAGTGTTCTTGTCTCCCCTCCTCAGTGTCTGAGCCTTACACTCTATTATTGCTCCTTTGCCAAATCGTTTCCACAAATAAGATCAAAACCAGCAACTGTCAGCTGATCTTGAATCCCCACTCGCACGGTGCCAGAAACAAAAGGGGAAAATAGGGGAACTATATAAAGCAGCATGAGCAACATACACATTCTTATTCCCCACACGAACAAATGTGAGCCACAGTACGACTGGTCAGAAAAGGCACTATAGCGCATTATTGCACCTCAGAATGCTTTGCAGAGGTATCCCTTATACTTGTAATAGAAACTTGGTCCCTCACACTTATGTAAGTGAACGAAAACCTTCAGAGATAAAAGTATGAACGCCTCATCTAACTGTACTGCTGGCACTGTGGTTTATGCTGACCAACAGTAGATTGATGCTGTATTGGCTCTACAGCAGAGAGGTTTTTGTTCTTCAACATTTCTTTCTTTCTTAGCACTGGACAAACAGCAATGAGATGACCAAGTTCATGCAACAGAAACACCTGCAGTCACCACATGCCGCCATGAGGTTGAGGTGACAGGTGCCCTCCCCTCACCAGGATAACCATAGTGTCATATTGGGGATGAAAAAACAGTCTAGTGTGTAAGGGCAAACTCATCAGCCAGGACTCAGCTTTTAGTGTATTTAAATAGACTATCACTCGATCTGGCAAGCATTTCTTAAAATCCTCTAAAAGCACGAGTTCTTTCATTTGCGCAAAATCCTTGACTTTATCAAAAAGCAGCCCCTTTCTCATGCGCAAACTCCACATATGTCACATATGCAATACTGTAGCCTTAACCATATCATGATCCAAGCTTTGGTTCACTGACAGGGTAGCAGTGGGAAGCAGTGGTAGCACACACCTCCTGGGCTTTACCAAAAAAGCTTACACTGCAGCAGCAAAGCCCAAAACATCTTTGGCCAGTTCAAAGCTTTAGTAATACACTCAAATGCACCAAAGTATAAATCCACCTCAGATCCTCTAAAAGTATCAATTTAGTGTGCTTGCCCACATCAAAGCCATCATGGGGAGACTGGGGTCTTGCAGCGTGAGCGGTGATTGTATGGAGCTACTAGGCTGGTGTTCCAGCTCCAGCAAGATGCACAGCTTCCACTTCACGATTTCTCAACTCCACTTCCTCAATGCGGAGCATCAGCTGGAGTTCCTCAGCATTGTAGGACTGGGAGGAGCCATCGGAGAAGTGGTTAGTGGAGAAACATTGGAAGGATTAACCTCACCCCACATCTTTGGACTGTGGGATGGAATCCAATGAACACAGAGAAAACCCACACAAACGTGGGTTGAACACTGAACATGCAAAATCCACACAGAAAGGGCCCAGCCAGAGGGTGGAGTTGAACTCAGGGCCTCGTTGCTGTGAGGGAACAGCGCTAATCACCGCATCACCGTGCTGTAAAAACGACAAAACCTTAAACAGAAGCTAAAGCAATAAGGTATAAACTAAAACCCAAAATGACAAAAACCATAACACTGAGCCACACCCGCAGCAATCAGAACTATCTAGACTTGTATCACCAACTATCAGCGAGCTGTCTCCGTGAACCACCAAAATCCCAATCACACTTATCCACGTTTCTAAAGTCAAGCAATGGGACTGTGACAAATTTGTATTTATTTTCTCAAATGAATTTATAAACTCACAGAACCGTCTTTGTCTTGTAAATGAATGGATTTATGGCAATTTCCAAAGAAAAGAAAGAAATCAGAAAGTTGTCCAGATAATTTACTGCTCAAGGAGTACATCTGATGATGTCCAAACCCCATCATTCACATGTATACTGGGGTTTCTGTATGTTTTTTTCTTATGTGTCGATATTTGGGTGTGTGCTTCTCGCTCTCTCGCTCTCCCTCTCTCGCTCTCTCCCTGTGTGTCTGTTACAGCCATTGATGGCCTCTAGAGTTTCATCCTTCAACAATCACTTGCCTGTTGGAAGGTGCAGCCGCTCTGCAGGCATATGAAACCTGCAACTAACAATCAAAGAGCTGTAGAAGTATAGGACAGACCTATCTGGTTACAGAGAGAGCGAGTGAATGAGAGACAAAGAGCGACAGTGCAAGAACGAGAGAGTAGCGAGAAAGAGAAAGCATGTAAGAGAGAGCAAGGGACAAAAACATTACAGAGGTTGTCATCTGATAGAATATACAGTTTCTTTTTGAAGAAGAAAAAATATATTTGCGGCATTTCTTCATCAGTTTGGCTTCTTTCAGCTTCTTTTCTGTTCTGAAGGAGAACCAGTTTAAACCACAAAGAATACATGAGATACAGGCAAACAGTGGTGTTTGTCTCCCATATGATCTCCTTTGATGTGCCAAATACATGTGACAGAAAAATCCATGACTGCTGCCTGTTCAAATTTGCTGAATGTTAACGCTAGTTCAGGTTTTGTTCAGGTAACCTGTAACAGTATGAAAGATGTGAGAAACTCTGGATCCCAAATAACAGATGTGATCTCTTCCTATGTGTCATATCTGGATTAGAAAAAAAACATAATAATGTTTAAATAAATCAGAATGTTAGGTTGTATTTTTCTCTGATTTCTGGCAGGCATACAGTGGGGCAAAAAAGTATTTAGTCAGCCACCGATTGTGCAAGTTCCCCCAC